TGTTTTATGTCACTATGCGTATATTTATTTTATTATTGCGCATAGAGTTCTAGCTACTGTTTACTTTTTAGTGGTATGCAAGTGCCACTACCCAGCTAACAATAATTAACTTCCACCTTCTTCTTCCGTTGAGACAATTCGCACACTTACTCAATGCGCGCGTTTACCCCGAATTACTCTAGTATGTAAAAATTTTAATAGTTTGAAAATTATGAGCATAAAATAAAATTACATATTTAATAAAAATTAAGATCCCAACAATATTAAATATATCCATAGAAAGAAAAGAGTGTAAAAATAAGTCAAAATCTATTAGAATATCTAGATTATATTTAAGAGAAACAATGCTGGCGAAACTTACAAAGAAAGGAAGCAGACCTTCAGCTCGATCATGTGTTAGCGCCTCCAGTAGAGCATCTCCTCTCATACTTAACTCATTATCAGATTCAATATATCGCATTCGAACTAGTCCTATAAGTCCAGCTTTTTCCACACTAGAATGTGCCTGTATTAAATGAATAAAAATAATAATACAAAATAATTCATAATGAACTAAATAATAAATTACTATTAATTATTTTTTAGAGATGTTAATTCAAAGATGTACCACAAATTTCGAAAATCAGATTCTGAAATTATTTTATTATTTTTTAAAAAGTTCCTCGGAATCTAACATCTCTTAAAATTCTAATACACCAATCATATTCATAACTCGCGCAAATTTATTTTTTGATTAACTTTATTTTGAAATTACAAAATCAAACTTTTAATTATTTAAGCTTTATATTTATTTATCAAGATGTCTACAATGAAGTATTTCGATATTTCAGGAAAAACTTATTCCAATGCGAATAGTAAGTACACATTTCTGTCCATTCGTGTAATGCATCTAAGTGCATTTTATAAAACTCTCAAAGGAATGCTAAAAGCTTGAAATTTTCATTCGCCGCAATATGCAGTATTTAACGTTCTCGCTCCTATTAGCATTTATTATTATTATTATTTCTGCTCGCTACTTTCGCGATTGCTCCCAGTGGTCGCACACATACACATACCTACCGTGCTTTCAAATAAAACATCATGAGAATTTGCACTCCTACTTGATCGTCTAGATACATTTCTAAGCTTCTTACTCTCAACAGAAAGATAATGGCTACGAACCTGATCCGAGCAGTACGCAACTAGTCGCGAATTGATCTCCGTCGCCAAACGGTCAGGCTCGTTCTCCTGCACGGCTCTAATAGCTCTGGTTCTGGCTGCGAGCAGACACACCAGCGTGGCTTCTGACGCTGTTGTTTGTATGACGCCGCCGCCGCCGGAGCCGCCCGGTCGATGCAGGAAATCTTCGGGTAAACCGATCATTTTGCCTAACCAATTCATAACGATCGTTTCTAACTCGGTACACGCTGGACTGGAAGCCTACAGAAACGATCATGTAAAGATTGTAAAGCTTAAAATCACATCTTATCTAGTCAATTCGATGACTCAGAGATTGAAAAATAAAAATTTAATATTAATTTTTACGTAATTCTATTTTATTTAATTTTATTATTAAATTATAAAAATTCATTTATATATTATACATTATATAAGATAAATTTTAAATTAAAAAATATATATTGTACTAATTATAATGCACGTATACTTATTATAAATTATAAAAAGATACTGATAGATAAAGATGTTTCATTTTAATTAAAATTTTTAATCGAAAACCCATAATTAATTTAAAACGTGTAAATTGACGACAATTGTCAAATTATTTGCGAAAGATATTATTCAATATTAAACACGTTCCAAAAACATCAAATACCGTTGAAAATAAATGCGTAAAATTGCGCTTACCCACGTGAATCCCAAGCAGTTTACTGCGTCAGCCAGCATGTCGCCCAGTAGACTGGCAGGTGAATTCAGGGCCGGAAAGTAGGCGTGCATGTGCGGACTCTGCCAATGCGTCACACCCGGCATGATGCATTTCTCAACGTCGGCGAATATATCCTCCCAGGGCTCGCCGTCCACCGGGGCCGACGCCGGCAGGACATTTCTCAAGTATCCCGGCGAGACCGCGGGATATACTCGTCGGGAACGGATGTCTCCCAGATAATCGGCGATATAATCCACCATTTCCTTCCCTGTGCAATTTTCGAATATTTATGATTATTCTAGACCATTGTGTCCAACGAGGATGCTACTGTAAGATCCACCCACTTACAAATTGTGCATCTCAATTTACAAATTCTGATTAATTATTTAAATACTGACAAAATAGCAGTTTTAAAAAATTAGCTGATATATGTATAGAATGTTACGTGTATAATCAATGTTTACACAAAATAAAATATAGCTTATTACATAATTATATATCACAATAATAGTAAACGTAAACTCGATATTATAACATATTATAATAATTTGTAATAATTATATTAATAACCATGAAATAATTATATTAAAAAAGTTGATAATTAATTTTATAAGGAAAACAAATATTTTAAAGTTATTCAACATTTTTAGGATGTTTTAAATTTATTTAATTAAATCAACGCGCATTTATCGTAAATATCTTATTGTTAAAGAAAATGTTAACAAACGAAGAATTCAAAAAGTGTTGACAAACTAGAATTAAAAGTCGTTTGCGAATCCTCTTCGTTTAAAATTTAACGCATTTGTTACCTGCAACTAAGAGCCATCGAACACAAGAACAAAAGATGCTTTGAGAATCAAGGAGCTATTCTGTACTAGAGAAAAGACGTAATTTTTCAAAGATTAGACTTTCCCTACTTCACGCATGCAGCTTCCTTTATTTGGAAAACGAAATCATTCGTTCTATCACACGATGTTTCTAACATAAAATTGCGTTCTAGCAGATAAGACTATAGATAGTTTTCTAAAAAAATCGTTTGCTCAATAATTGATTTTTTATTAAAGTAGTACATAAACATCCAAAAGGAAGAAAAGCCAATTTGTTTTATTTATTGTTATTGGTAACAATTATGAATAAATAGATACCCCTGTATCGCGATATAAAGCGACAGGCATTGCCAATTCTAATTTATCAAGACGAATAGACAGAATAATCGACTGGGAATAAGATCGCGGAAGAGAAACAAGCTCAAACCAATTCGTAGTTCTAAAGCTGGAGATTTAGATTGTAAACGATGTCGTATTGGAAACAATATCGCACCTATAAAGTCTCTACCAATTCTACCGGTGATCTCTATTTATTGACGTTGTCTCAACGTCCTATAATACAATCATTGTCTTGAAATTGCTTGATTTCCTCATCGCGGCGTGTCGCGATTGAAATAAGATTTAGATCAATTGATTGATGTATTGATAATATGTTAAAGATGCATTACATTTATTTTTACAAATGTGTTAATATTTATACATTAAACTATATACATAAAATTGTATTTGTTATACGTCCGGTGGACTTCACCGTTTTTTCTCCGTTTCGTGACCGTATAATAAAATAATCTCTAAGAATAAAGAATAAACAAGATAAATTGATGATCATCAATTGACAAACAAATTAGGACCCATACGACATTTCCGTTATCAGTTTCCTTACGAAACTGTGATCAAACGTGGGAAATTTTTTAACAGGAAAATTAATTTCGAAAGCAACTGTCAGACATTGTCTACATTCTGATTCGAACGCGGTAATCCGCAGCAATAAATTTGATTCTGAAACTTGCCCAAAAATTCCAAATTTTATAGAAAAAAAACTAATAAGTAAGCACTGTCTAAATATATTGAGAAAGTTCAGAGAGTATAGAGAATCGCGACAAGATAAAATTTTTATCAAGGCATAGAGTATTGGAGCTTAAAAAGGACGATAAAAGTGTGCTTTAGTTTTCAACCTCTAAATTTTATCAATTCCTAACCGCTAAACCCGAAGTTAGGCTGAAAATCTGACGTTCAATTGATAGGGGAGGAATCACCGGCGATTAAGAGGCGCAGACGAATAAACATTGATTTTTTCAAATTGACAAATTATAATCTCTCAAAAACTCTAGATGAAACTCAATCAATTAAATAAAAATCATAGTGGTGAGAGTAGAGACTCACCAAAAACAAGACGCGAAACTCAAATCGGTGAACTATCTAAATATCTTTGATTATTTGATCGTTTCGATTTGAAAATTATTTGATCGTTATAACGCGCTTTGAACATCTGATTGTGTGTAAACCTGTTTCTGCAGTACATATTCAGCTTTATAACACTATAATCAATTTTGTATAGATATGCAATGTGATACAAATTTCATCTTATATAGAATAACGCAATAATTGCAAAAACAAGAAATAAAATTTTTTATTTCTTGTCAAAACAAATATCTTTCAGCATAATTTTCTTATTACAAAATTTATTAACATAATATTATAATTACTAAATTATTTGTACATCTATATTATTGACGCAAATAAAAAGTAATTCAATATTAAAATAATTAATTAACGCATAATTTTAATAAAGAAATTTGATATAACATCATAAAAAAATAAAAAACATATTTTGGCGATAGATCGGAATTACAGTTTCGACAAGATGATCTTAGCAGAAGCGAAAAGAATCGCAAGACGCGCATAGAACGGAAAATCGAACTGGTCACGAACAGTAGCGATGATCTAATAGTGATGTCGGCTGGTCTGCATCAGTGTGCCACCAGTGCCTAGTTGGTGAAAATGAGTGCAAAACAATTACACCAACTGGCTCCGACTAATTTTTGAGAACCACTTTATGTATCCAATATGCATCTGTGTGGCATACAGAGTCCAAATGAACACACGGCACTAGCAAGGGACTGTATCATTTGACCAGCCAAACACACAATACCTGAAATGTGCAATCGATGCATCCCAGCCGAAATTGCTATAAAATGACTCACCATTCACCAATGAATAGTTGTAAAATCTAACATATTTATAACATTCTATTTTTATTAAATGACACATTTTTGTAATATATTTATATTATTTGTTATTGTTTATATTGTTATAAACTAAAATTTAAAAAATAATGACAATCTCAAATTTATAAAAAGTAAATATAGATATCTTACATCTATTTACATATTAAAAATAATTTCTGCAAAGTTTTGTTGCAATTCACAGATTAGTTACAAAGATTTAGGACAAATAAATATTTTGTTTATTTACAGAACTAATTTCTGCATCGCAATAAAACTTTACATAAATCATCTTGAATACTAAAAATACTTATATAAAAAAATTGAGAGTTTTGTCATTACTTTACAACACATTTCCTTACCTTTTTTAGAGAAAAAAATATTACTTATTAAAATAACTTTTGGTCTACAAGGTAAACTGTGCTTAAATTTTTTGTAGTATTTTTAAACGTAATTTAGAATAATTTGCAATTTTTTGTTATTTTAAAAATATGTGTAATACATCTTTAATCAAATCTTTTAATTTTAAAATGTTTGTAAAATATTATTATATTAACTTTCATTTTATAAAAAAATCCTACGTAAAACACAAATTTAATGTTATTTTGCGAAGTAAAAATAATCACTGATACGAACCTAAATAATTACAAATCTCCCAAATTTTTTATTATGTTTGTACATATAAATATATTTGCTTACCATGTTTGCGGTATTCCTCTAAATTCATTTTATCTGTAACAAACAATATAAGACTTAATTAGGTTAATTATTAATCATTTAGTTTTTACAGACACATTTTTAATTTTAGATACAAATTTTAAAAGTATTACAAGATTTTTAAAGTCACAAAAAGTGTCTTTTAACATAATATTGCATACAATAATGCTATATTAAAAAATTATCTTCTTTGTTTAAAGAAAATGCTAAAGAAATCTTTTTGTTGCAATTGATTGACATCAGTAATCGAATGGTGAGCAAACAAAAGACTCTACTTCCTGTAAAAACTGCTAAATGTCAGATGTGATGGTTTTTTTATGATACATTGTTTTAGTTTGAAAAAATGGCATGTAATCAAAGTTGCATGACATATACAAAATTTCTATATAATAATAAAAAAAAAATAATAATTTATTCTTTAAATTCTTTGGTATATAATGGTCTAAATAACCTTTATGATGGTCTATCGATCGTACTTTATCAGTAGCATGTGATTCCTTCAATGTCAGTTTGAGTCACGAGAACTATGACACACTGAACTAAACTCGTTACGTGCTCTTCGATTTGACACAAATCGATGTTGCAAGGTTGCAGAAATCAAGAGGCAAAATTATACAAACACTTTCCTAATTACTCGAGAAAGATCAAGACAGAATTTATTAACGAGGTTCTTTCTTACACAGACACCGTCGAAGCGCGATTACAGCACAACGAATGATGTTGACCTAATACAAAAATTCACGATGCGAGTTCGTCGCTAATTTCTACGGATTCATCATCGATCGCGTTGGCGTCACATAAGTCAAGCCTCTTAGTGCAGGCGATTCGTTAAGATTTTCGTTTTACGACACTGAGCACTTTAGTCTCGTTATATTTATAATAATTGCATCTCGGAATGATTAGGTTATTTAGCGAAAAATAATGTTAAATACGCGATGGTAATAAGAATTGGTTCAAAAGATATACATAAACAGTTTCTTTGAGCATATTCCGACACGCATAATAAAATCGAACTTGATAGCGTACAGATATATTAATAATTCTGCATTCAATTATATATTATTATATTATATTTTGTAATATTCAATTACACATTCAAACGCAATTTGACAATATCCTTTTATTACAGTCGAGTCATAGGTGGAATATTAACCTATTTTAATGTGCTGGAAGCGGTAGAATAATTATTTCACAATAAAATAACTTTTTTGACAGAAATTTAAATTAGAAATTTTATATTTTATCGAATAATAAAATTCCTATTAATTATAAATTAAAATAAAAGAAAAATAAAGATTCTCATGGAGAGACGTATGTTCATAACATTGACATTTCGGAAGAGAATTATTTGATCGTTATAAGGCGCTTTGAACATCTGATTGTGTGTAAATCTGTTTTTGCAGTATATATTCAGCTTTATCAAGCGACGCGGTAGCGGCGCGACGCCAAGTATATAAAAGTCGGGTGATGACATGTAATAAATAACGATAATATCTGAGATCTGTTAATGTACAGTAATTATTAATAGAAATCGGTCTAAACTATTGCAATTGTTCAAAATCCATTATTTAACAATTGGGGAACATATCGATAATCCACTTGTTTGGTAATTGTTATTTAACATTAATAAATCGAACGGAACAAGTTATAAGTCTCTCTCGCTATCCATTTGTTTATAATGCGATATCTAACAAATTAACGACGATGTCTGGAATTTGTATATGCGATATTTGTTAGTTA